CCGTAAGGTCCTCCATGGGGCATACCAGGAGAGGCGGTCCTGCAGGTATAAGGGTCCTAGGCTAAACCCAGCACCTGATCCTGTACTCCACCGTGAGTCAGTGCAGCACTGGATGAATGTGATCCCTTGGCGAGAACTCCATAAGGAGTCTCGCTGCAGCATTCTGCACCCGCTGGAGTTTCTGGGTCAGCTTCAAGGGCAGCCCCACGCAGAGTGAATTACAATAATCAAGCCTGGAGGTGACCGCGCATGGATCACAGTGGCAAGATCAGGGCAAGAGAGGTAAGGGACCAACTGCTTAGCACGGCGGAGATGGAAAAATGCCGCCTTTGTTGTAGCTGTAACCTGCGCCTCCATAGAAAGGGAGGTGTCGAAGATCACACCCAGACTCTTGACAGAAGGCACTGGCACTAATTGAGCCCCTGCAAGAGATGGGAGTTGACGCCCCCCCCCAGCCCCATGTCCTGATCCAGCCAAAGGACCTCTGTCTTTGAAGGATTTAACTTCAACCGGCTCCCATGCAGCCTTCCAGCCACAGCTTCCAAGTACCAGATCAGTGTGTCCAGGGCTGAGTCAGGATGGCCGTCCATCAACAGATAAAGTTGGGTGTCATCAACATACTGGTGGCAACCCAAACTGAAACTCCGGACAAGTTGGGCGAGGGGGTGCATAAAGATGTTAAAAAGCATTGGGGAGAGGATTGCACCCTGCGGCACTCCACACACCAAGGAGTGCCGTGAAGACAGCTCCTCCCCTAGTGCCACCCTCTGTCCCCAACTTGAAAAAAAAGAGTGCAGGCCCTGAATCACCACGTTGGGTTCCGTCGCCATTACAAGATAACAAGGGAGGTTCTCTTTTTTTCTAGAAAAATAGCACTGAGGACAGCAGACTGAGCAGGCAAACAGGTCACTTGGTCCCAAAGTGGGAGAGATGTATTTTTATTTAAATGATAGGAATTATTTCTAGATATCCAACTATACATATAAATTAGTACATGCAAATTTTATGCAGATTGGTGGCTTCTTCTGTCTTCTTTTTTTGAGAATGTGTATCATGGAGATATATGTACCAAATAAGCAAACAAATACATTTAGTATAAGGATATGAGGAGAAACTGTAGCCATGTTCTAAGATTGTTTTGATAGAAATAGAAATACTGTAATTCCTGGAAAGGGGAGTTAAGAGGGTTAAATCTCTCCAGGATGCTTGGAGGTAATTTAAAACAAAAAAGATAGATGCTCAACTAGAATATATACAGCAAAATAGGGAAAGTGCTTTCAAATCCAAGTGCCAGCAGGGTTAACAATTGGAGCCAAAGACACCATAAATGGCAAGAAGGATTCTTTTCTTGCCCAAATGAGGAGAATAAAAAGGCACATTTTTGTATTTCAGAAGCAGAAAAACAGCCAGGGAGGCGGTTGGACTGCCTGTTGACAAAGGAATGAAAGGATTGCTAAAGGAGGATCCAGAGACTGCAAAGAAGCTGAACCAGTTATTTGCATTGGTATTCACTGTGGAAAATGCTGTACGCCTGAATTGATGTTACTGTAGTTGGGCAAAGCAATCCCATATTGCAATTACATCAGGGTGCTGGTAGGGGGTAGGAAAGATACCACCACTGTGCCAGTGGAACAGCTTCCATGTCCTATACATGCTCAGCCCAGGATGGTGAGGGGAAAACAGAACAGAGTAAATAAGAGAATGAATGGCATAAAAATGAAGGACAAACACCTCTGGAAATGCAACCAAATATCACTGATCAGGGATTGTGCCAACACCACCACCTCTTGCTGTCCACACACACAGTGCCAATGGGGGACCCCCCCAGTGCCCCCCATCACAACACACAAAACACCACAGTGCTCCAAATCCATCAACCCCAGTGTCCCAGTCACCACTGACTCCAGTACTTCCTGTCCCAGGCAGAGAGTGCACACAGGGACAAGAATATAAGACTCCACCCAGGGAGGGGGAAAGCTCCTTTGCCAAGTAGCCAAAGGAAAAGGACTAGGATAGGAAACAAGGGCAACCACAGAGATATGCATCAACAGCCGCAAACTCCAGCGTCTTCCTCCATAGTACATGGGGAGGAGCAGAGAATGCACCCCCCTTTACCTTTTGCATGCTGTTTAAAATATCATGTTAAAAAAATAACCAACTTGATGCCTTTTTAAAAAAGAGTCTGGGTGAGCCAATATATTTGTTAGGCTAACTTTTTTTCCTAGCTAAATTGGAGGAAGCATGTTTAAATACAGATTACATTAAGTATAAAGAAGAATTGTTGAGGGGTTAGCATGGCTTCTGCAAAGAGAAGTTCAGATCCTTTAGGGTTGTGAGCCCTTTGAAAGGGTCAGTATTAAGCATATGAATGAGGAAAAACTTCAAATCCCCAAAGTTGGGTAATGCCTTTATTGGGACCAGCCAAAATGCTGCAAAAGTGTGGCGAGCTTTCAGGTTCTCAATTAACTTCAATGGGTGAGTAAAACAGTTGAAATACAACCTGCAGAGAATGTTAGTGCTGCTAGACAACCAGATTGTTATTTTGCTGTGGTTGAGCCAGCCTGTGGATGGCTGTGTGTTGATGTGTCCTCCATTTAAAGCATTTTTAAACCAGGCTCATTCATCAGTTACTCTGCACAACCCATGTTTGTTTGTTTTTTTTTTAAAACACTCCCAAGGACACATTTAAAAATTATTTCCAAGAACTGTATGCATAAATTATATTCAGTCTGGAAGGCTTGCTTGAATTGGAAGGGATTAAAATAACTGAAATAGATTTAGCCCTTGATGCTCTAAATACACTTTTATTGACACATACCAAAATAATAATAAGCAACTGGCAGAGAGAATTGTTATGCTGTGCGATAACCCCAGCAAAAATTCTCTGCACCAACAAGCATTGAAGGGAATCTGAAACTCCCTTAACTGAGAAAAAGAAAAACAGAAAAATGTCCAGGAATGGCTAACCTTGTTTTGTTAAGAACTAAGGAAGGAAGACGAAAGTGTAGGCTTCTTGCCAACAAAAACTGACACTTATTTATGGAGCACTGGCATAACAAAAGCCCATCCGTCATGGTAAAACAACAGAGTATTGTGCTGCCTTAAAGACTAACACATTTATTATGGCATAAGCTGGGGTGCACTCCGTCAGATGCCGTACGTTATTATCACGAGTAAATCCAGGATAGTACTTCATATATCTCTGATGCAGTGGACTATAAAAAAATTATGCCACAATAAATTTGCAAGTCTTTTACCAATGGTGGGGGGAACCTACGGCCCTCCAGAAGTTCTTGGGCTCCAACTCCTGGTCAGCTCCAGCTAGCATGGCCAATGGTCAGGGAAGATGGGAACTGGGAGTCCAACTACACCTTGAGAGCCACAGGGTTCCTTGTCTCTGCTTTATAGTGCCCTAAGGCTCTGTGGCTGCTTTTGCTGCAGTGGACCAATGCCCTGGAAACTATTGCGTCAAGTGATGCCAGGCGTCCAGTTTGTCACCAATCTGTGTTACGCCTGTGTTCCCACGAAGAACCGATCTGTGCATCTTGTACAGCATCTTTCGATGCCTTAAAAGTAGACACACAGAACTTGTGGTCCTCCGTGTGCTGTTGGACTCCAGCTCCAGCATGGATGGCACTGGGTGGCAGGGAAGGGGCAAGTGCCCACTATGCAAGGAGCTCATCCCCCACTTGCCTCACCCCCATCGCTGGATTCCTGTCAGAAACATACTGCTATGTTTAATGTGGGGCACAACTCGTCCACCTAGAAATATACTTTGCCCCTTCTGTGCCCATTAAATCCCCCCCCTGGTGTTTCCAGAACTCCAGTCAGCCCCAACCAGTATGCCCAGTAATCAGGGATGATAGGAATAGTAGTCCAGCAACATCTGGAGACAAGGGGTGCCAACTTAAATAAAATATGAGGGGAGGGAGATAAGCTCTGCCCCGCAGAATTGATCACATGATGTGGCGGGCACACACCCTTTGAATGGCAATGCCCATCAACTGGCCCCCCCCCGATCCCCTCAAATATTTTAGTGGGGGGCTGAAGGGACCTTGGCCCTTAGATCTGACTTTTAGAAGACATCTGAAGGCAGGCCTGTTCAGGGAAGTTTTTAATGTTTGATGCATTATCATGTTTTGAATACTCTCTGGGGAGCTGTCCAGAGTGGCTGGGAAACCCAGCCAGATGGACGGAGTATAATTAATTAATTAATTAATAATTAGATGCTGGCTCCTATGTCTGGAGGCTCCCAGCTTTACCTTGCCTCAAGACAAGACATAACTATTATAATTATCATCACCAGTGCTTTTTTTCTGGGGGACGCAGGGGTACGCATACCCCTAAACATTTTGCGAATCTCTGTACTTTTGTCCATTTACTGTACAGTATTTATTTTCCCCCCATTTGAACGATAAAATGGTCATTTTCTTGAGTCAAAATGAGAGTACCCCTAAACATTTTTTAAAGAAAAAAAAAGCAGTGATTATTATTATTATGATTCCTGGTAAGCTTCCATGGGCAAGACACTTTTGCCGCAGCACGCTAACACGACTCGAGCTCGGGGAGGTTGTATCGATTCCACTTTTTGGCGGGAGGGAGGACTATTTCGTTGTCGCCGCTGTTGTTGTTCCAAAGCGGCGGGATGTTGACGGCAGTGCGCGCGTTGAGTTTCCTTATCTTCCTTTCTTGCCATGCCGCCTCCTCCCTCCCTCCTCTCCTCGTTGGAGCAGCAGCTGTCCCATTGCTGACATTCCCCCGGCCGACATTCCACATCTCTGAGGTCATGGGGCTGCAAACATAAGAGGGCTGTGCTTTAATGACCGCGCGCCGTATCCTTCCGCATGGCTGGAGCAAAGGGGAACGCCTCCCTCCGGAGGGGAGAGAAAGAAAGGAAGGCAAGGCAGGAGAGGGAAGAAAAGAGAACCCCGCGCGCTCTCGCGGCGCACGCACGGGCCGCTGGCAAGCGCGGCGTGGAGCGAAGCGGCTGGGGGGGGGCGGGCGCGAGAGAGAGAGAGGGGGGCGGGAGGCCGTCCTGTGCGCTCCAGCAGTCCGGGGGCTTCCTCTGTCACAGGAAGGCGGCTGGCTGGCTGAGGGGAAGCCTCCTTTGGCTGTAGTATTTCTCCTCCCTCCTCGGCCCCGTGGAATGAGCTCCAGCCTCGGCTTTTTCTCGCCTCCGCTGTTGTTGTTGTTGTTGTTGAGGCAGGAAGTGAGGAATGTTTTCGCTCTGAGAGGAGCAGAGAGGTGCAGGCGGCTCTTCGCTTCCAGGGAAAGGGGACCCGAGAAGCCTTGCTGACCTTTCCAACTCCCCTCAAAAATAAAAAGGAATACCCATGAAATGGTTTCATCCGGATTGCTCTCCAAACTGCGCCTGGATGGTTGCAGTTAAAAGTCCGCTTTCCTTGAATTGCTGCAACAGGTAAAGGGGCGGCGCGGTGGGGCGGGGGGGGGATGCGGGGATGCTGCTTTTGTTTTTTAAAAGAGTTGTTACACATTTATAGTACCGGTTTTCAGGATCTTCGCCGCTTCTTTTCTTGAATCGCCCGGCCGGAGCCCTTCTGAAGGTGGCAGTGCGCAGTGAAGCCCCCAAGCGAGCGGATTGGTGCCCTCGGCATCCTTTTTGGGGATGGTGTTCAGAGCAAAACTTGGTTAAGATCGGGCTGCGAAGTAGATCGTGGCGCCCTCGCGAAAGGATAAAGGACGAGTGCCAAGGAGTCTCGTATCTCGGTGTCCTTGTTCATTTCTGTATGGCAGGGTCTTAATTGAAACGAATATTTGTTTCTTTAAAACGTAAACGCCCCCCCCCCCGTTTACTGCAACCCTCCCTTAATAAAGAATCGCAGTCAGATGGGCGGGGTATTAATAATAATAATATCACGAGGCTTCCTTTATTAGAATTATAACACTAGATGTAAGAAGTGAGAAGGATATTTTGCAAGCAAAATGATTTGTTTTACCCTTAGTACAGCTCTGTCAGTGAAACGCTTGCTGTTAGTTCAGTTGTTAAAAGGAGGGAGTGTGGTGGAGATGGTATAGTTTCGTGCATTAATAGGGAAGGTATTTTGTGGGTTGTTTGTACTTGGCTAGCAAATGAATAAACAAACTAGTTTTCAGTTCCAGAGCAACTTTCATCCTTACCCCGCCCCCCCCCCAAATTTCCAATAACATTCACTCTTCCAAATGATTTCAGGGGTTGATTGATAAAATGAGGACATAATCTTGCTTTGTGGATTTTCGCCTTTAAAAATGATTGATGTATAATTAACCCAAAGGAAAAACCCTTTTCCTTTCTGTGCACTCCAGTTTTATTTTGGCCGTGTATGGAGTTTCTGGGCAACTGGAGAGGAAAGAAGTAGAAGTTAAGTGGGGAAGGTTGAGTCTTTGATAATACTTAAGTTTCTTTAAAAGTATAGGCTAAATCAGAATATAACATCTGAAGTGTTCCTAGACGTGCTAAATAGGGAACAATGATTTCAACATATGGTTGCTTGGATTTGCTAGTGTTGGCACTAAAATGGCACTGAATGCAAACTCCCTTAATCGTGCAGATAGACATTATTTTGAAATAGGCGTATGTGGCAGCGGTGGCGGGGGGACGGACGACTAACATGACAGCAGCTGGTAGCAGAAAATAGCAGCTGCTAAACAAAGCTTGGTTGTGCTGTGTTTGCAAGAATTGTGCTTGGCCAGCACGAAAACTTGTTGAATAGGTTTGAAGCATTATTCTCCCCCAAGACATTTTATAATTGCCTTTGCTGTTAATGTATTTAAGTGTAGCAATGCTGCATGTGCTCTCCCCTTTGAAAATGATTTATATAAAAAATTATGGGGAAAGTGTCCTGAATTCTCATTGGAGCAGCCTCAGGAAATATTCCCACCATGTATGAACATGATTTATAAATTATTGGGGGGTGGTGGAAGAATTTATGTTTGCTTATGAAGTCAAAGCAAATGTTAGAGCAAATCTGATGGACTTTGAACATAATGGGCACAAGGCAGCCTGATCTCATCCAGTTTTGCTTAGAAGTGAATCCCATTAATTTAACTGAAAACCAGGAAAATTCCTTCCAGTAGCACCTTAAAGACCAACTAAGTTAGTTCTTGGTATGAGCTTTCGTGTGCATGCACACTTCTTCAGATACACTGAAACAGAAGTTTCCATTTTTCTTCAGAAAACCAGGAGTTAAGCTTGCATAAGATTGAAGGTTTAGACTTTAAGCATTGCTTTGTTCTTCCATTGGAATCAGTGCAAGCAAAATTGCTTAACTTTTTAGATTGTTCCATGCAGTTGAAGGCTTCAGATTCCTAACGTTCACAAATCTTATTATTATTATAAAGACCACCAAAGATTTGCTAAAATGTCAAAATTCAGTACAGTATATGCCCTCTAACCTGGGAGCTTGCTCCATTGACTCATTTCTGAGCAGACATGTATAGGATTGTAGTGCAGATTGGTCAGTGCTGAGGATGAGGAGACTAGTTTAAAAATCAAACGTTTTGAAAGAATGCTTCATCTTTTAAAATGTAGTCGTAACTGTTTATCCCATGGATAAAGCACTGCAACTGTCTGCAATGGAGAACTAAATGGGAGCCTCCTCAGTAGACTTTATAAGCAAGAAATGGGTTGTAATCTTCACAAATATTTCGAGAGAATAATCAGAATGAAGCCTGAAACTCATTTACTCTAGGAGAGTCATAAATAGAACTGCTGCAAAATGCATAAAGCTATGGATTGTAGTATTAGTGGGGTAAGTATTGTTTATTCATGAATGAATGAATGAAGGTGCCATTTCCAGTTGGCTTTGTAATGCTTTCTTGTATGTTTTCACCGTAAAGTGTGTTGGTTTCTGGAGGGGGAAGACTGCATATGTGGAATCACTTTTTTTCAACCTCCAAGTCATGATGTCTAAGACCACACAGAATTAACATGAAGGAAGGTTCTGTTACATTCTTGCGGCATCCTTTAAACTTAGTAGTAATCCTATGCTTAGCACCAGGTTTATGTTAGGCTCTGTTTAGAACAGGCATTATTTCTGCACGGAAGAAGGCTTGCAATCTGCACTAGGTACTGCTAGGATGGTTTAGGAAAGCCTCTGCTAGAATTTGGTTTTAAAAAGAGTTTAGAGCTGCCTCCCCCAATACAATTTTTCTGTAAAAATAAATAAATCAACATGTTTCATTTTTCTTGGCATGGAGATGTAAAGTAACGATGCATGATGATACGCTGTTCCTGTTGCGTTTCTGCCTGTCACACAGCCAGTCTACCAGTTCTGGCAGCGGTTTAAAGGGGTTGAGGCAATGTGATAGGATTGAAGTGGGTGGGAGAGGAACAGTGGATGAGAGCAAAAGTGAGGGAACAGGAAGAGGTACAAACAGCCTAGCAAGTAAATTAGCCAGAGGAGTTATCACCAATTGCAGTTCTGCTTGCCTGAACCCCTTTTCTCCTGATTTTATACATCGTGCATAACTCCTACTATTTTAACATGTGTTTAGTTTCAGCTGTGCATTTGAATGCTGTAGAAAATATGGAATTGATATGGTACAATATGCCCAATAAATTAAAATATACATTAATCTTGTAGTTTGCTATTCCATAAATGTCTCTAATTTCCATATAGAACATGGTTGTTTTTTTAAAAAATACCATTAGTTGCAAAACCCTTTTATCTATACAACATATACTTGTTACACCAACACAGATTAGTAAATCTTAAAGAGAGTTTGTGTAGTAGCTACAAATGTGAGCTGAGAAAGTTCCCAATTCCACCTAATTATCTAAGCCATGTATTTATTGGGGAGGGATAGATAAGCCCTATATTCTCAGTCTCAACCTTCATCTTCCCCACCTGTAATATGGGGCTAATAATATTGGCTGAGCCAACAAGTTTGTTGTAAGGATTCCTGAGATCACGTAAGGCAGGCATAGGCAAACTCAGCCCTCCAGATGTTTTGGGACTACAACTCCCATCATCCCTAACCACTGGTCCTGTTAGCTATGGATGACGGGAGTTGTCATCCCAAAACATCTGGAGGGCCGAGTTTGCCTATGCTTGATATAAAGGCTCTGAGAGTTGAGGAATTTTCTGTTTTGAAAAAAACAAGCTATACTTTTTTTTCAGGCTAAGCTCGCCAAATGTGAATGGACATTGTGAGCTAAACCCATCTCTTTATGTAAACTCCTCTTTGCTTTCTCCCTCCGCAGAATTTTCGTCAATGCTTCCTTTGCTCAGATCTTGGAGGAGGACCTGCCACTTTTTGATGGCTGCTGCTGCAGCTGCCGGTTGATCATCTGGGGACTTCATAGCTCCTGACTATTCGTGGGAGGCAAGGCATTCCTGGAAGGCTTTCGGTGACTTCTTGTGAATGTGCTAGGGAAGAAAATGCCTCTGCCTTTCGGGCTGAAGCTGAAACGAACTCGACGCTACACAGTGTCTAGCAAGAGCTGCTTGGTGGCCCGCATCCAGTTGCTTAACAATGAGTTTGTGGAATTTACACTGTCGGTGGAGAGCACCGGGCAGGAAAGCCTGGAGGCCGTGGCACAGAGACTGGAACTTCGAGAGGTAGGGAACGTGGTGGCAGGCTTGCGGGACTTCCCATCCTGGGATGGAGACACCATTCAGGGGTTCCTGTTCAGGGACATAGGAAGCTGCCTTATGCTTGGAGAGACTATTTGCCTACGCTTGAAGGGAGCAGCTTTGCAGGGGAGTGGATAAAGACCAAGCCAGACACACTGTTAGACAGAATGAGGCAACTGCCTCAGGTAGCAGATATTGGGGGGCAGTTCCCTTCTTTGGAGGACAGAGCTGTGTGGGACATATGCACCCCCTAAACCGGCCAGCTGCCCTCAGTTGTAGGGGAGGAGCTATTCAGTCACCAGTGCCAAAGTCAGATTCAGCTGCCAGTCTAGCTGGCTTCTGTTCCTAGTATGGAGGCAACGGCAGGACTCCATCTTGCCTTTAACCTCAGGCGGCTAAATGTCTTGGGCAGGCCTTACCTTTCCCATTACACATTCTTTTTACTGGAGATGCCAGGGTTTGGGTTTGGGTCAGGACTTGGAACCAGGGATTGAACTTGGGATCTTAGCATTCAGAGCAGTTCTGTTCCTTCCTGTGAACATGTCACACCATGCAGTCCTCTGTGTCAACATGTACATGCACAGAAACAGGCTTGTGCAAATGAGAGATAAATTCCACAGATATATCAATGTTGAATCTTTGTTGCAGCCAAAGCAACACAGAGTCTTGTGGTGCCTTGAAGACTAACAAAAAGATTTAGGCACAGAGATTTCTGGATAAGATCCTGCTTCCTCAGAAGTAGAAAGTGGTCACCTAAAAGGTGAAGATAAATCAAAAATAAAAATTTTTTAAATTTCTGTTGGAATTTATATATCACTTTGCTACTTCACTCACCCTCAAAGCAGCTTACATTCAACATGCAAATAAAAATATGATGGTAATGATCAGGGTAAGCTGCTTTGAACTTTTTTTTAATGTTGCGTGGGATAAAAGTATAATAAAAGACACATTGCCTTCTCCAATGCTGCTCAGCCCTTGAAATCTCATTAAAAACATGCTGCTAATTTCTGCTGCATTCTGTACTTTAGAAGGCAAAGACTTTTGGTTACTCCATCCTGGCTTGTTGTAAAAACAGCCTGTATGTGCAAAACAATGGCAGGAACTCTTTCTGCGCTTGGAGCTCTTGCCTTTCTATGTCCACTAAATTGGAAGAGTCCTGAAGATATATGAAAATAGGAAATGGCCCTGAGTCAGACCACTGGTCTGTCTAGCCCCTGTCTCTGGCTGGCGGGAGCGCTCCAAGATCTCTCCCAGCCTTGTTACCTGAGACCCCTATGGCAGGGATGGGGTGGCCCTCCAGATGTTGAACTCCAGCTCCCATCATCCTGCATCAGCAAGTCATGCCAAATGGAGGAGGCAAAGGAAGCAGCAGCAATGTGCTTCATTTGCATCACAAAGTTGCAGGGTCCAACTTTTCAAAGTGCTGAACTGGAGTTACCTTGGTGCGGCGTGTTCTGTTTTGAACTGTGTGTGCACGTGGATCAGTCCTGTTCTTTGTAACGAAGCAAACCCTTGCGCATTGCTCCACATGGGGCACGGGGCATGCTTTTTCTTCCTTCATATCTCTCACAAAGTGGCCCTCAGTGTGTTCAGCGAAAGTGGAGTTCAAGATGAGTCAGCTCAAGGCGTCTGGTTGTTGACGGAGATTTTGCGTGCCTGCGAGCAAGCATCTTGCCTGCACGTATATTTCCTCATGGACTTACCTTAGAACTGTTGCCCCCTTAAGCTTTTCTTCCATTTATTTTCCATTTTATAAGTGTGGTGAGAGCAGAGAGAGAGAGAGAGGAAAGGGTGCCACATAAATAAAGAAAAGCAGGTCCCCACCCACTTTTGGCTCCTGTCCTGTCAACACCTGTTGCAGCTCTGCCAACCACTGCTATGTGGCATTCAGCAGATTGTGCACAAGGAAATGTTACCCTGCTCTAACCACTACCCCATAGATATTTTCCCCTATCTGTTCTGTGCTTCTGGTATCTAGGACAGAGTCAGAATTATGAGGGATGGCAGCAGTGGCATAGCTAGTGTTGCTGAGCCAAGGGTCTGGCCTGCTTTGAATGTATCCGAGTAGAGATGGCTGTTGCGGCACAGTTAAGGGAATATCATTTATGCTTGAACTGTTAGCGGTAGATCCTGCCCTTGCTGAGGAACCTCTTCTGGCACTGACCAGTGCATGCACCCCTTATGAAGGACACTCCAGTCAGCTGATCCTCTTTTCCATTTTAATTTGGGTTCTGGAATATTTTGGGAAATGGCAGGAACTCCTGGAAGTGACGTTAGTAAATCAGATCTAGGGAGTGCAAACTAGACTGCTGAATTTGAGCAGGCTTCCTCACGCTCTCCAGAACACATTGTTGTTCAGATTATTTTGACAAATAAATACTTGTGCAGCAAAAAAAAAAGGAAGCAGAGCGATGATGGAATGGGATGGGATAGGAAAGGAAACAGAGATAAGGTAGAGAACAGCTCTCACTAAGTGTGAAAATAATATTCTTGGCAAACTGAAAACATGTTGTTTTGCTTCCAGTGCTGTTAATTTTTTTTTAATCTGAAACGTTGAGGCAGTTATGTCCACTTTAAATATTACATAATTTTGGAAGACTGTTTACTACATTCCAGGTGTGGGTTGCTTCTGAGGCAAGCACCTCGGGCCTTTATTTTCAGCCATAAAGCCACCAGAGGTCTTGCCTGTAATTTTTCATTTCCATTTTTATCCCAGCCTTTCTCCAAGGATCCTGGGAAGGTATATATTTTATAACCTTTTTGAGTCCACGGCTCGCTTAATCAACTTCATTCTTTCTGCAGAATCCCTGTGGGGCTCAGGAGCCCCTGCCTGCAGAGCTGGCAACCTCTCGCCCTTTTCTGAACTCTTGTGGAGTGATCCCTCAGCCTCCTTTCCTCTCCCCTCTCCTTGGGAGTCCTCCAGTCAGTTGCTGCTGCTGCCATCCCTTGTCTCTAAGCGTCACAACTTAATTTGAACCCAGGTCTTCTTGGGGGCCTACTCCAACAGTCTAATCCAGGGCTGGGGAATTTACGTCCCTCCAGATGTTGCTGGACTACAACTTCCTTCATCCCTGACAACTGGCCTTGCTTATTTGAGCTGATGGGAATTGGAGGCCAACAACATCTGGTTCCCCTGCCCTAACCACTATACCACACAGTGATTACAGCAACAAGTCTCTGACCTTGCCTCCTTTGTTCTTTGCTGTCTGTAAGGCATCCTTGAGTTATCTTTGTAGCAAGATGAGTCCACATGGGCCATGGTAGCTCCTCCGGTAATGTCCTCCTTTCTGGGACGGACAGTACTATTGCTGGGAGGGCCTCCACAGGAACTTCTACCGTGATGCAAAGAAGTATTTTGCATCGTCTCCCATGCTGAGAAGACAACCTAAGGAGAAATAAATGGGGGGTTAAAATTCACTGAATGGGGCACTGACACCAAGAGGCAGGGAACAAGAGTTGCCAAAGCAAGTTGACGTTGGAGCTAAGAGAAAAGAGCAAGGAAAGTGCAGGAGGGGAGAATGAGGGCAGTAGGGCAGGAGGATGGAGCAGGGAGCTTGAGGGAGCAAGCCAGGGCAGTAACAGGAAGCAACCGGGATTAGAGAGAGACTGAGCCAGAAGGCGGCAGATATCCCTGGGGCTTATCGCACAAGCATTTAGTCCGGTAGGCTGGCACAAAATTTAGAATCCATTCAATTTCCAGGGTGTTAAAAGGAAAATGCAATGGTCTAGTGCAGGGGATAGGCAACGTGGTATCCTCCAGATGTTGTTGGACTACAGCTCCCATCAGCCTTAGCCAGTGTGGCCAGTGGTCAGGCATGATGGGAATTGTAATCCATCAACATCTGGAAGGCCACCATGCTAGCTGCCCCTGGTCTAGTCTTTATGGTTTTGGAGAATAGTTTAGTCATTACTTGCAGAAGGCTTAGGAGATGATGAAACATGGAATAGTTTCTCTTAATAGTCTGTCCTTTTCTGCCTCTTTCTCTTCTTCAACTGCTGTACCACTTTGTCATCCACCGTGAAAACTGCCATCTAACCAAAGTCATACCACTCCTCAGTTGTTCTTTCTCCATTAGTGAAACCTGCATATATTATGTAAAATAATATGTGCCTGTTGATCTGACGTAATTCAGCCCTGAACGTTGTGTTTCTATGCAATATATATATATATATATATATATATATATATATATAGCCACATGTCACCTTGTATATGTTGAAAGCTTTGCTTTTGGTCCAGTCTCCCCCCCCCTTTAAAAAATTATTGTGCACTGTAAACATGATGGAAAAAGCTAGTTTCCTAAAGCAGGGTAGGCTAAGGCACATGTATTGTGCTATTTGCAGAATGTGAATTGCAGGGAATGTAAATACAATCTGGTTCTCTTTTGACACACCCTGGCTAAGAGGCCAAGTGGTAAATGCGCCTTCATTAAATTCCAGGAGTCAGTGTGGGCAGAGTACAGAGATGATTGAATGGAGCACAAGCAAATTTTGCTAACGTAGTGTGTTCGAGAGACTGAACACTCCCTGCAAAAATGCACCCAAAAGCATTTTATACTCAGTGTCAAACTATAGACAGGATGCCAAGTTCCATGTTTCTTTTTAATTCTCTCTTTTTATAGATAAAAAGTTGTCCTGGAAGATTGTGATCAGGAGTAGAGGAGGCAACGGGCTGCACAACCCCTTCCTCTTCTAACATTATTTGGGCCACTGCCACAAAGATTTTCTTCCCTCAAGAGTGAAGATACAGGCCCATTTTGCACATGGTGTCAAGCTATAATTTAGCATTATATGTGCATAAGCAGCAGTGAGCCTCAGCTTGGTGTACATCCTGCTCTCTGGTCTGTCTTCTTTACTCCTTTGGTGAAGCTGTGAAAAGATCGGCTCTTCAGATAACTAACTTTGAACTGAGGGAGAACTCTAGTTTAAACACAGGCAAGCCTGGGTCAAACCGTGGTTTATTATCCTGGCCTATCAAGCTACAG